GCCCCTCGCACTGTGACTGCTGGATATGGGCACCAGTGACCCACGCAACCCTGAAAAGGAAGAAGCGTGTACAGAAAATGGATGGATGGATGTTTGCATGTGGACTGACATGGGCCGGCCCCAAACCAAAGAAACTAAGTAATGCTTCAGATTTGTGTACAGTGTAAATAAAACCTCTCAATCAGCTTTATAAACAAGCAACAACTGGTGTTAATTAATACCCAGACGTTCATAGTAACTAAGTACATTTACTTTGTTACAGTACTTAAGTAATTTTTTGAGGATTTGTAATTTTACCAAGTATTTCTTTAAACCGTGACTTTTACTTTTACTTAGTTACTTTTAAAACCTAAAAATGATACTTTTTCTTCTTTACTTTAAAGTTTAACACCTAGTTATAAATTAAATCTGTCTGAACTCATCATGAAAGGAGGTATTTATGTGCTCTAAAACAATGAAGTGTTGAGTTTACTCAACTAAATCATATACACTATTTCCACTAAACCTAGTAGAGTAAATTTGAGGACATATACATATTTTATTTTAAATAAATTGACCAATTTAAACCAACTTGGTTTTGTGGAGCCAGTTTGGTTTTGTAAATTTAACAGTTTGTTCGAGAGCGTGGAAAAGTACTTTTACTTCTACTTTCTCAACTTTTGTGAACAGTTTTATGACTTTTACCTAAGTGGTTTTGTCATCAGTGACATTTATTTTTACCAACGTCATTTTCTGTGAAGGTATTTTTACTTTTACTAAGTTGTTTTTTTAAAGTACTTTATAGACCTCTGTTAATACCTAATGTTTGTACAAAACTATTTGGTGCAACATCAGCAAAAAAAAGAGTTTCAGGCGGAAATACAAATATTAGATCATCCACGTTCTTCATCTGAATACAACTTTATTTAACAAATACAAAATACATTTGCAAGGAAAAAACAGCCAAGAAGTGCCAAAGTTTTTGTTCAAAAAATACTGACTACAGTGCACAAAAAGCACCATTAAATATCAAGCGTTGCCATATTCTGTGTACAGAAAATCACCATAAAGTTAGAAACCATATACTAGCAATTACATTTGACTGTGTCAGCCTTTAATTTGATACAGCTATTGTTTATTCTGAGGAGCAGCTACAAGAAGTGCAAAAGTTACAATTCGTAAAACCCTCGGATTTTTACGATCAGATCAGCACATTCATTCCGTCACTTCCTGGTTAGATGTTTGAATAAAATAATAGGTAATTATGATAAAATAGTTGGGTCCGTTTTTGTTTTTTTTCGTCTTTTAAACCATCTTTTCACCTGAAAGATTTTTTTTTTCTCTCAAGGTTTACTCAAGATTGTCATTGGGCAGGAAAATAAATACTGTAGTTAAATTTCAGCAGTTTAACAACTTTCTTTCTGGCGAGGTGCTTCTTCAACCCCTGCACGCAGCTCTAGACACGCAGTAAAAAAAAAAAAGGGAAACGTGAGGAGAAAGGGGGACAATAAAGCTTCACCAGACTGTTAATGGCTTTAGACTGAAGAATTGTCTCCACGGTCGCCATGGAGTGAAGGTCGCTCGTAACCGAACCTCGACCTCATCCTGTCTCTCATTGGTGACGATACACAGAGAGAGGTTATTGAAGCAACACTTATTGTTTTCTAACAAAAAAAATGACGACTGGTTTCATATTTCTCTATATTCCTCTGAATATCAGTGAGAAGCTTTATTATCAGCTCAACACATGGAGAAACGTCTTTAACGGAGGTACTTTTATGAACAAAAAATAGCTAAATTAGATGTGTGCAGTACTTTAAAGAAAATAAGAGTCACTAATTATCTTATGAAAACAAATAGCCTTGATGATGTCAGGGGGATGCAGTTGAGTGTTGTTTCAGCTTGGAGATGGGGAACTTCCAACAGAGAGCCTGTACTTTGGAAGGAACATGTGGGTATTGACAAAACAAACAAGTTGAACTGTAAAGATGCAGCAATAAGCTTATATGAGTTTTGACAATACCAGGAGCTGGAAACCAGCAAATCGTCAAGGTTTTACTTTTAAATCAATTATATGTAACACAATCTAAGTATCTTTCTATTCCATGAGACTTGAATTTAACAGAAACACACAAAAAAAAAAAACCCAGACGTTAAAAACTATAAATCCTCTCTTTACAGAGGCTTCAAATGGCAGTGAGCATTAGGATCCTGAAGAGACTTTGTAATGAGATCTCATTAAACTGAGCACACTGAGCTCGAGTTTACAGGTCCAACAGGTGTGTGACACTAGAGGCAGATGTATGACCAGACTGAGTCACGTCTTGTCTTTAAACAAATGAAGTCTCTGTCATTGACGCAGCAACTGAGTTTACAGAGTCTCAGTACTGGAATCAGTTTGATGACCAGTTTGCCTTTGAGCTGATAAAACCAGCGCACGTCCCTGTTTTTAATTTAAAATGTGGGGTTTGTGTGAGAATGTTAACTCCCTGTGTTGGAAGGTCAGCGCTTCCCTGGTGTATACTTCCTCGCCAAGGGCGTCAGAGCCGGGATCCGACTGCCTCTGCCTGTGGGCCTGGCTCTGGGTCTGGCCCCGACCGACCACGTCTGCTTCAGCTTTGTTTCGGCCACAGCCCTGCCTGGACACACAAACGCACGTGAACAAAAGTCCACGACGCCGACGTCGCTGCTCGCCATCACGTGGGAATAAACAGGAATGTTGTGAGGCGTCAGCGGCTCGCGATGATGCGGCTGCAAATCAGGGATGTTTCCATACATTGATCGCATCTTTTAATGTTTATGCTGCCATCACGAGTTAATTTACTCCTCAAGACATAGGAGGAAATAAAGAGAGTGGAGATTCCCAAACTTTGTAGAAATGGCAGTGTAATAAAAAGAACTGGTTTTATATATTTTTAAAATATTTGTTGCATTTGGGCTATTTTCATTTTGAATGGTTGAAATTTTATTAACGGTTTAGAAACTTTCAACTTGGGAAAATACTGTGTAGTGGTCACCACTATATGGTCGCTATGGTTTAGGAACTATGTTTTAATGAAATACTGAAGTGAATTATTTAAACCAAAATAAAATTTAAGATATTTGTCTAAAATTCAAGCACAAATAACAAAAACTTTTCATAGTAAAACATAGTGAACTAAGATCAATTTAAAGAAGAAATAAAACAGAAAAACACATAAGCACATCACTGTTGAGTAGCAGTTGATTAAAACGAGTATAAAACAAACAAAGAAACATTGGAACACTATTCTTTTTTGTGTTTTTTCTTTTTCTAAATTATAATGCAAGAAAAATAGGCTGTCATTCATTCATTATGTAACTTTGACATCATTTATTTTATTTATAAAATGATAATAACTCTTAGTTAAAAGAAAATATAAATCAAAAATATAAAGAACATTATTATTTTGTTTATTATCTTGATTAAGACGAAGAAAATGTCTCTTCATGTTTAAGAAGACACACTGTGGCATGAATTCAGTTTTAACTGGAACAGAGTTTTGTCTCTCTGAAGGAGGTCGTCTGAGACCAAAGGTCAAAGACAGGTGGAACATTATTCCCCCTCGAGGCGACCACTACAACTGTAACAATAAAAAACCTGTGACTTCTTTATTTGGGCCAAGTAGAGAAACGTTAGTCACTGAGGACAAACAATGCAACATATCAGATTTGGCTAATTTCTAGTTTTAATTTCTAATAAAACAAAAAAAACCCTGAAAAACCTGAGATTTTTATTTTAGATGTAAAATTAAAATGATGACATTGTGACTCCCCAAAGGGGTTGAGGCCCCACTTCTGAAAAGTGGGAGTTTGAGAAATCTAACTAAATAATTTCTAATGACTTCTTTTCATTATAATAGTAAGAAAAAATAAAAAAGATAAAAACAGTGAGAACCACAGTAGCTGAAACCATTTATTTGAAAACTAAAAACTGAACGGGTTGGAAAATATGACCCAAACAGAATATAATAATATTAAAACAGCAATGGTAGAGACTAAATTTAAATTTTCTGCACTCCTAGAGACTCTAAGTACAAAGAAAATGGCTAAAAAAGCGGATTTTGCATCCTATATGTCCTTTAAGTATAGAACATTTATTCTTCTGTTCCAGACTAGTGTGAAAAGTTACAACAAACAAGCCTGAACAAACCTCTGTGCTCCTGTGGCTTTACAACACGACAAAATGGAAAGTTCTTGGGAAATCATAGGAGTTGGTTCTCTAGAACCTACAAGATTGAGCTTCAAATTAAATCTGTGACTGTTTTGTTGGTTTTGCTGCAGAGGAAGGCTGTAGTTGTAAAGTTACAACTTGACATTTTTACCAACAACCGGGGGCTCGTCCTGTGGCTCACATGGTGTTTGGAGGGAATCTGGAAGCAGGAGGTAAATGAATGCTTTACCTTGTGCTGGCTGGGTTTTCTGGGCTAGCGCAGTCCTCCGTGAGTTTTGTTTACAGCCGTCTCTGCCCATGAGGTGAGCCTTCCAGGCCTGGAGGAGAGACAAAGTGGCTCAGTGAGTTCCTTGCTTCACCAGGACCTTTTTTTTCTGACAACCACAGGTGACTGTAGGCCCAGTCAGGGCCTGAGTGGTTGCCCTCACTGCCAATAACACTGCAGTCTTTCATTGAGTTTACACTCAGAGTACCAGCAAACAGTCATTTTCATCTTTTTGGACTGTTAAGTAAAGTACAAACCATTTTTCAACAAAGCTCATACGTTAGATATCCAAAATATCACTCTTGGAAAAATCGTGAAAATTGCGAGTCTCAATTTCTTCCCTAAAGACAGAAACTAATGTAAACCTAAAAGGATTGGTGTTTGTTACATCTCTTTGTGAGGCAGAGAAACTCTTACACAATGTGGATGTTCTTTTAAAACTTTCCAAGGACATGAAGCTTTACAGGATTAACAAAAGTGCAGCTCCAACAACGCTGATATTTGAGCACAACCGTTCCACCACGTGGTGATTCTGTTTCCGATTACAGATCTTTGGTGTGTGTTTTTAGCTTTACGAGCTTTTTATTGACACAACCTTCCAATTGTTCAACTTGGTCAATTAGTAAACTGTCAACAGAAAATAAATGCAGCTCTAGATTAAATATTGTCTGAAGTTAAACAGCCTATCTATAACCGTTTATACATTTTTATTACTGCATTAAAACAGTTTAGACATTAGGGATCAGGAAACAAATGGTTTAGATGTTTTCTTTTTGTTTAAAGTAGAACAATGTAAAGAATGTGATTTTTTTTCTACACCTGAAAAAAAAAAGAAATTATAGACCATAAAGAACAAAGCTGTGACTTCTTTGAAGTTAAGGACAACAACAGTAGAGTTTTACCTTAACATCTGCTGCTAAAGCCTAGCCTTAGCACAATCAGTGTTTCAATAAAAGACATGGAAAAAGTTTAAAGACAAATAAAAAGGTCAAATGAATAATTAAAGACTTAACTTTTCTTACGTAAATACATATCGCCCATTTCTTTTAAACGAAGGCCATCTGAGAAATGAAGCAGTTGTAGAGGTTTTGGTGAAACGATGTTAACGACATTCTGAGCGATCTCATTCCATGTTCTGAGATCTTGTGTGATGAGTTAGCCCTCACAGAACATGTTGAGGACGACTCAGCTGCTGCTACGCCTGAATTAGCTCAATATCTGTCAAAGTGAATGAGATGCAACTGTTTTTGTGTTGGTTAAGGTCAGTTAGCCGCGGTGGCCATCTTGAACAGACGTAGGTAAAAACAAGTCTGCATATCACAAAAAAGGCAAGTGATAAAGTAAACTTCCTCTTGGTTTTTCCTTGTTGTTTCGAAGCTTTTTGTATCTCAGTTGATGTTTAAATAACAGTAACAAATGCTCACCTCCTCTCCAGGGGGGAAGTTGCTGTGACACAAAGGGCAGTGGTTTAACGTGGAGCCATTTCTCACATCCAGGGCTGAAACATTAAGATGATGTCTTTCAAACCAGGCGCGATCACATACAATGCCACAAAAAATAAAATTTACCTCACTGGAGAGACAGTGTTTAATGTACCTTGGAGCATTGGGAATACAACCTATAACTCACGACATGTTTTTCTAATTAACCTCCCACAAAGAAGACTTTGGGTTTTTTGCAACACAAAACCTCATTGTTGTCATTTTTATTTAAAGATATCAAAAAAGAAAGATGAATTATGTTTTCTGGGTGATAAAACAATGTCAGGGAGTGAAGAGTTAAGGTAAAACTTCTAGAAGAGTTGAAGCATGTTTCTGCACCCGAGGGCAGTAAAAACTGTTAGATAAGTGTCATTTTGAAACATTACTGATGAATCTAAACCAGGATATTGAATTTGTGAGTTATCTATGGTGAAGAAAGAGTTTGATGTGGGAAAGGGATTTTCCAAATTGTGCTGGCATATAACAAAAACAGATAAGAAGAGTTGCTTATCTTCAACAGATTAATACAGTCGATAAGAAATGTGCACCATCTGAATGGGTGAGTTCCCTCGACAGTAATGCTGGTTTGATTGTTGTTGGAGCTGACAGTCGCTCTGAAGTGCTTTACTGCAAGGTGTGAATGCTCATCCTCAAAGCTATCCACTTGTGGATCAGAACCAGTCAGGATTCTTCCCGCTCTGCAGAAATGCCTTACAAAGCACATAAACCAGCTGAGCTGTAACGTAAACTGCAAGATTTGCCAACATTTCTTGATTTGCCCATTAAAACATACTTTATTTAGTCAGTTTCAGCTATTATCTTATCAGATTTAAGCAGCATTATGAGTCTGGAGCGTGTTGGTGGCCTAGTGATTAAATCAGATAACGTAAAAACTAATCTTCAATCATTTTGGCTCTTTGTGGCAGGCTCTCCTCAAAGCATTTCATCTTTATGCTTTCACTACACGCTAAAGGCAAAAATCAACAGCTCTATTCAAACATAAATAACAAACCGTGGCATGTACTTTGCCGAAAACATTTGAGGTTGTCTTTAACAGGATGAAGGAGGTAAAGAGAACTTACGATTACAGCTTGGCCCCTGAACATGACAGGTCAGATCTTGTGCGTTCACAGCCTCCGAGCAGCGGGAACACTGGCTGAACTTGGACCTGTTTTCACACTCGCCCAGCAGGTGTTCTGTGAAGCTGGCTATCTCAACTACCTGTGAACACAGCAACACGTCTTTGACCAGGTGATCGAAGCATTCAGACACATTAAAAAAAAACAAAAGACAACCTCTCTCCAACAACTCTCTTACCTGTCGGCATTCGTCGCAGCGCCGCAGCATCGGACACTGTTTCCAGTAGTGAATGTCCAATCCGTCTTCAGTGAATGACTCATCTTCTTTACCGCAGAATATACACAAGCTGAAACAAGAACGCAAAGATCGTAGCAAATGAATAATGTTGCAATAGTAAAATGAAGAAATAAACCAATCAACTCTAGGAATGTAAAACTGTCCAAGACTCACAAAAACTAAAAAAATTACACTTGTGTTTGTATTTTCCCATTATATCACTGACTTTAAACACTGAATTTTTCTTTACTTACTTGTCCAGATATTTGATAGAGTGTTGTACATCTTCTACACTATCAGCAGTTTTCCTCTGTGGCCCTTTGGGGACACCTGCAAATGACAGAACATGTTGCTTGTTAGAATAGGAACGACTGGTTTTCTTTCTAATGTTTCTTTTTCAAATATCAAGCAAATAATATCAATGACCCTTGATAGAAAACAATAACACAATCAGAATGCAACTAAAAAAACAAGTTTATTGCAAATAAAAGTAGATTACAATGGTCTTATGACTGACTGAAAAAGTAAAATATCAATAAACTAAACAAATGTCTTTAGCATAATATTATTTATACTACAATCAAAAGCAAAAAAAGCTACTTTTTATTTTTATATTTATTTTATTTTACATGTTTAAAAACATTCTATGTGTACATAAAATGAATGCACTCATATGCATACAATTTACTCAAACGCGAGCTTTATATTAGCCAAAAATGGGCAGCGGTGGTGCAGTGGTAAGGCAACCGACATGGGTCTGGAAAGTCGCAGGTTCGATTTCCCGCCATGCCCACATTTGGCAGTATCCTTAAACAAAACACCTATTCCCCAAGCTGATTAAAACAGCTGCCTGCTGCTCCACTTGTGTGTGTCTCACAAGTGTGACGGTTCAAATAACAAGAGACTAAATTTCCTCACTGGATGGGCACACACAATAACAGCACACAGCACTTTCACTTTCAAATTACAGACCTGCGTATCAGACCTGTGGCATACAGATAAAAATGTGTGGGACAGAACGTTAAATCAAAATATTTCCTATTAAAAAATTTACGTGTGTACATACGTGCTCTGGCACCTTTTAGAGACTCTTTATCAACTTTGCGTTGTTCCTTTTTGGGAGTTTGTCCTTTTGTGCTTTCATTCTCTTTTTCCTGAAAAACAGAAAAAAGCACGTCCAAAATAAAAAGATTAAATTGAGTTTAATGGTGACATAGAGTGACAGAAAATATCAAAATTACACAAATGTAAATAAATGTTTTTTTTAACGCTGTATAACATTGTGACCACCTACATTGTGAATATTTTACCATGTCTGTGTTAGGTCATAAACACAAGTTAGCAATTGTGAAGGGAAATGATGTAATTGCAGTCTGATGACAGCTCCACCTACTGTGATGTCTTTCAGGACAGCCAGCTGCTCCTGGAGGGAGTGGATTTCGCCCTTCTCCTTTTGTCCACTCTTAGCACCCTTCTTCAAAGTCTACATAAAAAGTAGAATGCCATTAACCTATTTGTTGGAGTAATTCAGACCCTATTATCTCCTTTGTGTCCTGCTCTGTTTGCGGACCATAACATCCCTGTGAAAAAAAAACAATCCTCTTGTGAAAGTTGTGCAATGTCACAGTGATGAGCACAACTCAAACGTATGAAATAAGACTCTGTGAACAGGTGGTCACCATTGTTACTGTGTGGTATGGCGTCTAACAGCCGCTACATAAACAAATATCAAAAGGTAAACTTTAGCACATTTGTGCTTGTGATAAAAACAGAGGTTTTGTTTGTGCAAACTAACAACACGTATAAATTAGTGACATCATGTTTTTTAGAGAACACTATATTCACACTATATAACATAATGTCTGTGTGGATCTGATGCTATTTGTTTAAACAAATGACTGAAAGGACGGATGAAGTTGGTTTCGATAAAAGAAAAATTGCTTTCCATGTAATATAAACCCTCACTGTGTTTTCTCACTAAAGCCTGAGTAATAAATGAAAAGCTTCATCTACAAACCTGTCCTGCGAGTTCTATCACACGTTATCGCTGCCATCCCTAGTCTCGCAGCTTCCGTGTCCATTTATCAACAGCTCTTGCACGACTGCATTTTGTTTACATAATAAAGACATCATGCAGGTTTCCCATAATGGATATACAGCAGGTAAAATAAATATTGAACACGTCACCATTGTTCTCAGTAAATATATTACTAGAGGCGCTAATGACATGAAATTTTCACCAGATGTTGGTAACAACCTAAGTGATCCATACATACAAAGAAATCATACCATAAATGTCCAGAAATGGAGTTGTTTGTAATAATGTGGAACGGCACAGGGAAAAAGTATTGAACACACTTACTGAAATGTATCTAATACTTTGTACAAAAGCCTTTGTTGTCAATGACAGCTTCAAGATGCCTCCTGTATGGAGAAACTAGTGGCATGCATTGCTCAGGTGTGATTTTGGCCCATTCTTCCACACAAACAGTCTTCAAATCTTGAAGGTTTCGTGGATCTCTTCTATGAACTCTGATCTTCAATTATTTGAAGTTTGCCAGTACCATATGCTGAAAAACAGGCCCACACCATGATGTTCCCACCTCCAAACTTCAC